AGGGTTTTGCAGTAAACAGTACAGTTCTGCATTCTTAGCCCCTGACTGGTCCAGGATAGTATTCATCAGATGTTCAGTGGTCTAAATAATGGAGCATTTCCTTCTTGGGGGCATTCAGATGGCTAACTGAAGGCCTGACCGATGCCCAGGCATTAACACACAAGACACTGATGTGCACCCAGGTATTGACGCTGGACCATCAAGCTCAAAAGCTTAAGTTCCCAAAGTTAGTTAAAATAGAAATAATTGTTTCCTGATGCCTCAGCCCACGTCAATCAAGTTAATAATTTAGCAGCTTGACCACAGTGATTCCATTTTATTTCTTCACTCTGTTCCTCACCCACCAAGTTTCACTCTCCACCCTTCTCCATCCTGATCTGTGTCCCTCATGACTTTTATGGGCCACCTCATGGGTACCTTTGCTTCTGGTAGGTTTCAGATGATGGGAGGAACTGGCTGGTGATCTGAGAATAGGGGGAGGATGGATGGGGATTTTTATTTCCCAGCCTCCTCCCTGCTGAGCCACAGTTTGATAAAGTTTGCCGTCCAGCCAAGTGGCGCGATGGTTAAGAGCTGGCTTGGGATGCCAGAGGACCTAGGTTCGGGTCCCACATATGAGGGCCAGTGACACTGCCCTCCACAGCTGAGATGCTGAACAACAGCTCAACCTGGAGCTGGGCTGACGTGAGTCGCCGGCAACGGCGTACGTAGGCTGCAGCCCCTGCTGCAGTGGGCTGCCATGGGCTACCGTGTGTGTAGCCAGCAACCAATGTGAGCGGCCAGCAGCCGCAGTGAGCGGCCGTCCAGAAGCCGGTGACTGATCTGCCTCGCCAGAGAAGAGCGCGATGATGGTGCCAACTTGGGCCAGTGAAGCAACGTCCTCCACAACTAGACTGAAGAACAAAACGACAGCAACTTGTCTGTTCCCCTTTCCCCAATTCCCCAGCGCTGTTCCAATCCCCCAATTAAAATCTTAAAAAAAAAAAAAAGTTTGCTGTCCATGGGGGACACTCCTCTTGGCTGGCTCTCACCCACATCTGCAGCTCTCTCTTTCTTGGTTCCAGTAATTTCTCCCTCTTTTTGCCTCTTTAGGCAGGGCTCTCCACTACCCCCAGGGGCTTCACCATCCGTCGCTGGTTTACCTTCACCCTGCCTACACCTCTGTCAATAGTTCACTCATTAAACTCTCCTCAATTCCACTTTGAGATGCCATACATTTCTTTTGTGGAGGAGGGGAGGGGTAAGATTTTTTAAAAAATAAATTTCATTGGGAAACAGTGTGTTTTTCCAGGACCCATCAGCTCCAAGTCAAGTAGTTGTTTCAATCTAGTTGTGGAGGATGCAACTCAGTGGCCCATGTGGGGATCGAACCGGCAATTCTGGTATTATGAGCACTGCGCTCAAACCAACTGAGCCAACCGGCTACCCTGCCATATGTTTCTTAAGTGGGGTTGAGTGACTTTCCCAAGGTCACACAGAGAGTGACAGAACTCCAGAGAGAACTCACTCTAACAGAGAAGGGTGGAGACTTTTCCTGACCATGCTAGCCGGCCCAGCCTCCTCCCAGAATCTCGGACCTGCCCAACCTGCCGGCCTCTGTGATCCTTTTGTTGGGATGGGATTGAATTCCCTAGGGCTCCTTCCCGGACCTGGCCAGCTACTCCAGTAACCAGAGCTGTGTGAGAAGAAAAGCCCAAACCACTGGGGTAGCCGCACCCCAAAAACAGGTGAGATCTCAGGTGCATCATGCCAATGAGGGGCCACTTCCCTCACTGCTCACCTGCAGCCCTACCCTACCGAGGACCCAGAGCATCAGCCTCTCTGCCCCTGGCTATTCTCTCCTTCTGTCTTTGCTCACAGGTTCTCCACTCCTCCCTCCCCCACCCAACAGGTGTCCTGGATCTAGGACATCTGCCTCTCACCCCTACCTGGGGCCTCCAGTGATGTGAGATGGGACAGGGCTCTGGGTTGGGCCTTCAGGTTCCCTACTTCCCCCTTCCAGCCCCAAATCATCTCAGATTCCCAGGGATGGGCTCTGGCCAGGGAGGGTGGGGCTGCTCCTGGGACCATCAAGAGTCCTAGGCTGCCCTGACAGGGACAGAGCTGTGGCAAAAAGCAGACCTTCACCCACCTCTGCCTCCAGCTGACTCAGATGTGCCATGTTCCGGCACCTGTTTCTCCCACTGGTGACCTTCGGTAACCTCAGGAGGCAGGCTGGGCTGTGAGGGGCCTTGGTTCTGGCATCTGGAGGGATGGAAAGCAGGACCGTGGGCTCTGCGTGGGGACTTGCATGTCAGAAGAGGAAGGGGAGGTGGCTGTCAGAGGAAGGAGCGTGTGAGGTGTCAGGAGGGAGAGGAATGGGGTATGACAGGAGGGAAAAGGGGGCCTGACTGCAGTGGGGAAGGATAGCAGTGAAGCCTGGGGAGGAGTCAGGGAGGGCCTGTTGTAAGTGTGTGTCTCCAGCCGCTTCCTGCCTCCCTCTTTCCAGCCATCAGCTCCATCCCAGGAGCCTTCCAGAACTCAGGTGAGGCAGCTGGACTGGGGAAAGTCAAGTGCAGAGGCATAAAAGATAGAAGGGGTAGTGTGGATGCTGGGGTAGGGGGGTTGCGGAAAGGGTAGGGAATTGGGGAAGAGGATGGTAGAGGGTGGAGGATGGAGAAGGAAGATGAGGGCCGGGCAGTCAGGGGCTGGAAGTTCCCAGCATCTTGCTCTCTTTAACCCTCCGCCTCCCAGCTTCTGGTCCTACCCAAGAACCTGAAGATGTAGGTAAGGAGAGGGGTGGTCTCCGATCTTAAGGGAGGTTAAGGCTGGCTGGGCAATGAGGGAGGCGGAAATGACCAGGAACTTAGAAGTGCCCAGATCCAGTTTGTTCTTTGTTCAGGGGGGCAAACTGAAGCAGGGTGGGGGACAGGGTTTTGTCCTGACTTACCTGGGCCTCTGGCATGGGGGCCCCGGGCAGGCTGTGACCTCCATCACACCCCATTTCAGACTGCGGTCGCCCTGAGCCCTCTGACCGAATTGTGGGGGGCTCAGATGCGCAGCCAGGAGGCTGGCCGTGGCAGGTGAGCCTGCACCTGGGCGGGGGCCACGTCTGTGGGGGCTCCCTCATCGCCCCCTCCTGGGTCATCTCCGCTGCTCATTGTTTCATGGAGTGAGTATTCGCCTGTCCAGCCCCTCTCCTTCCAAAGTCAAACCCGACCGTCAGCGTGACCTCGCCACTCAGGCTAACTTGGAGACTAGCTGTCCCACCTACCCTCCCATCCCCGAAGCTAGGTGCCCTGTGGGGTATCCTGGTTCTGAGTGTGTTGAGGCTGCCAGTAGACAGGTCCCACCACTTCACTCAATATCCGAATCTGGATTCCATCTTCCCCACATACCCGATGAACCACCTCCAAACCAGCTCCGCTCTTCCCGCGTTATGGCATCCTCCATCACCCCAGCCCGGAAAGTGGATCCTACTCCGCACCCCTCCCCCCTTCCCCCGGGTTCCTGCTGACCCCATCTTCTTCCAGGCTCTGAGCCCCCACCCCCACGAGGGTCTGTCCCCTCCTTAGGGTCAACCTAACCCCCTCCCTCCTCGGCCCTGGCACAGCAACGGAACCGTGGAGCCCCC